AAAAAAAATCAGCCCTGTACTGACCTTCACATCTCATTCCCTGCCTGATACGGCCGAGCATCAGGGATGTACAGTGGGCACATTTGAGAGGCACGCTGAACGTGCATATGACAAATCTGTGGGGCTTGGGTTTGGGCGCAAGAGGCATGACTGGGGTGACAGTGGCTACCGGCTTGGGGCTGCTGGCCTGGTCCACCTGCTTGAGTGATCACAGAGACATACCCCAGAGGTTAAAATTAAAAACAGCGAGCTTTGTTTAATTGGTAAAGGGCACAGGGCATGAATCTTACCCGAGGACCATATTTAGCGTGACTTTCTAATTCTTCTGAAATGCACGAAAATTGTGTGAGGTTCCTTTTTGGTTAATCTTGCGGAAGTGTAACTTTCATTTACCACATTTTTCTTGACAAATGAGGGTGAAGTTGCTGTGATGTATCATTTCAGGAAGGCATTGTTTATTACATGGAGTTTTCTGTTCAAGATGTGAACCTACAGCGTGCAAATGAACATAATGTTGAGAACATTTTTCTTATTTGCCGACCTTCACATACTGCTCAAACATGAATTAGCAAAAAAGTAAACTCAGCATCATCAAAGAAATTCTGATGTATGCTTTTGCTGAACTAATTGTAGTAATGAGATTTCTTCCTGGAATGACACTACACTTTTGCTCATGAATATGCAAATTTTCACAAGCATAAAAACGCTAAACCTAAAATTACCTTCAAAATGGAAAAATGAAAATTAAAATGGGATTAAATGAAAGACAAGGGTGCGTTTACAAGGACTGCATTCAAAACATTTATTGCATGGAATCTACGGATGAAGTTCAGGGAGCTGAGAAGCACAAAAACTGGCTAAGTGCAAAGAAATTTCTTCGGGGTTCCCACAGAAAACTGGAGACCAAATTCCAGAACTTTTCCAGGACTTTCCAGTGCTAAGTTATCCCATTTTTCACGACATTTAATGACACTATGCAGAGAAATATGTTTGGTACTATGAAAAAGAAGACTGGCATAACCACAACTACAGATTGACAACGATGCAACCTGTAAGTTAATTATCATTCCCCTATCACAACAAAGGTACCCCATCAGAAATAACTCCAGCATGACCTTGATTTGCCACGACCTTTTCTACAACTTTTCTCGCCTCTCACAACAGGATTCCAGGGCACATTGTTTTCCCCCTAATTTTCCATGACTTTCCATGACCACTTTCCCTTCCCCCCCTCAGGATTTTCCATGACCTTGGGAATCTTGTTTCTTGCCTAGCACGAGCAGGGTATCAGCCACAATGCCGTGTGATGCATACTAGCTGTGACTGGTTCTGCTTTACATGCTTGGTATGCTCAACGGATGAGCAACAATTTCTGCTGAGAAGCTCAATGAAATGAGGCAATGCAATTATAGGAAGCAACAGAATGTTGGGGAGATATTGTGTTTACTAATGGAGCAGGTATGGAACTGGGAAGCTAAATGGGGTAAAAAACAAGGAAATTCCCAGCTGTACCAGACTTCCCACAGACTTCCGAGTTTGATGGCATACACGGGAAACATAAATGTTGAAGACGCCAAGTTTCGAGGTCCGACCATTCAGTTCTTGCTCATACTTTTGCACTTCATCGAAAGCGTACGATTACCGAATCACAGCCGTCTGGGAGGGAATTCAGGCCTTGGAAAAGCTTTACAGAGTCACTGCGTTCTGTCACCTATGTATGTGACTCCTTTGTTGGGTGTTTTGTGCTTTTTTTCTTCATTTTGTAATCTGATCTGAGAAATGTAACAACTAATGGAGGGTTTGTACATGTCAGCTTTTTATTGGCACCTTGGGATTCCAGCTTTAGTTTTATGGATTCTGGCTTCCAAAAGATTAAAAACCTGCTGCCAAAAGCCATTCAAAAAAGTATCAACTTTGCAAAACTTTATTTGTAACGGTGCACGTACAACTTAAGTCTGGTTTGACACCCCTGAGGTGAAGCCAATGCTCGACACAAAAAAACATGATCTTTAAAAAAAAGTCAGCTGATATGTATCTGGTCTGGCACACTGAGCATTTCATGCTTGAATTGCATTACATTGATGATGGAAACTAGACTACATCCCTGACAAATATAGCTTTCTTCTAGTGAGGCGTTGCACATAACAGGTGGGGTGCGATTTCAATGTAAAAAAAAGTACTGAAAATAGTTTGGTGAAGGAAAATAGCCAGATTGGTGCATGCTAGGGGCTACTTTCTTGCAATGGTCAGAAGTTTTAATACCTTGGCAGGTTGCTTACGATAGCGCGAGTTTCTGTCCATTTGTCCTGCGACATGCTGCGAAAAGGCGAACATTAATGCACACACATAAACATCATGCCTTGGACATAGCTTTGGACATAGAATATGCCAACTGAAACGATAACAACAGACCTCTGGGACAACAGGGAACAAGGGTGGGCGGTATGGGCTGAGGAGTTAGGGATGGGATAGGGATGGGTTGATGGGGTTAGAGAGGCAGGTGTACTCACCTCATCTTTGTAGTTCTCGGTGTACTTCTCTTCGTTCACATCATCCTCCTATAAAGACATAGAGAGGCAAGGTCCAACTGGTTTGAAATCTGAATGAATTTCGAAACATCTATCTTCTCTTCATGACAAATTGTGAAGAGATGCAATACAAGCACAAAACCAGTTCTGGCTTGCATGTCCAGTGCAGTTACATAAAACTTCTACAAACTTCTGGGGGATGGATTTTTACAGAGACAGTTTCATGAAAACTCAGGTTTGTACAATGAGAGTCAATGAACATGCATCAATAAGTTAGTTTGAAAAATGGTGCTTTTTGAAAAAGCACACCAATTCTCCTGTCTCTAACAGTGAGTGGCTGTGGGGAGAGAATTACAAACATCTATCCCGGGCAAAGCTGTCCTCTCAAAGGCAAAAAAGACTGATTTTAAAAGAGTATACTGTCTACATGTACATCAAGCAGAACTGGCTGGCCAAGACTGCTGATATAACTTGATCTAGCTGTGCAATGACTGTCGATTGATAAGCCTACTGTGTCTACCATTCCGCTGCTTATGTCTGTTGATGGAGTCTGACTGGTCATAATGCCAACCAGATTTACAATCTGACTGCTGATGACTGGCCTGGGTAAAGCAAGTAGCTAGGGAAAGCGAATGGAATGTTTGACTGTCTCAGGCCACTGGATAAAAACAATAAACCGGAACCTAGGATGAGGTGCTTTTCCACGATCTGTGTATTTCATTTCAAACTTTACCAATTTAAATTCTTCGATGTCGGTCTTCAGATACTCATCAAGGAAGGACAGATGTGAGAGTTTAGTGCCTGTGGTTTCTGAAACGCAACAACATTAAAAAAAACCCAAAATGATCTAAAATCCTGAAAATCCTATCGTCAGTGAGAGAAACAAGACACAAACACTCCAGTTCAAATTTCACAGATGTAAACAGCAGTGCTGTAGTCAAGACCAAAGATTATATAGCGCTGCAAGGATTGGTAATTCGGCCATAAAGGTGTTATCACCATGGGCGCCATTCGAGTGTGAACGTTCATGTGTGTGCGTGCCTGTCGCGGCGCCTGCGCCTGTGCATTAACATGCACTGCGCAGTCGTAGTCCAACCAGAATGGCGCCCATGTGATAACAACGTTTTACGCGTATTCACGGTGAAGTTCCCCATCTTGCGCCACTACACGGCACTATACGATCTTTGGTCAAGACTGTCGCAAGGTCAGTCTCATGACCATTAACAAGACCAGTTTCAAGTAACGGGGTAAGTAATGAAAATGAAACACTTTTGTAGCAGTTCCTTTGAATAGTTTGTGACCTGAAGTCAGACTGGAGGTCTTAGAATGGTCTTAAGAATATTAGTAACCAGGTGAATTACGCATGTTAACCATTGGTATGCTAGACAGTGTTGAGCATACAGAGCTCACAGTAATGCCTATTTTGGCAAAGTTCTGGGGGTACCAAGCACGGTCGGTCCAAACTACAAGCCCATTCGGGGTCCATCTGGAGGCACTCACGTGAGCTGCAGTCTTCAAGTTTCTGCTCCATTTCTTTGGCTTGTCTCTCCAGCGCTTCAACTTTATTCTCCAACTCCTTGTTGCGGGCTTCAGCTGCTTTCAACTTGCTGCACGGTACAAACAAATAGTACAGAACATGTGACTCGGGTACAATCAATTTTTTTTTTAAAATGTATCGGCAGCGTTCTCAATCAGTTACTCAGACGAAGGCTGCATTAGATGAGAAATATGCATTTTCATTAACCTTTTCAGTCCAAAACAAAGGATGTCCCAGTTTTTACATTTCACATCTTCAAGTCCAGCACCCACAATATCCTAACCTCTTTGTACTTAAAAAACGTGATGATATGTCTCCAAAACTGAAGCTCCAGTTAACACAATGGTTCACGTCAATTGGAATTTGGTTCAGTCTTAGCAACAGCATCCATCAGAAAATGTATAATTATTTAAAGCCTTGAAGGAGATCGTAAATTCATGAATGAACATAAGAGTGAGTGAAAGCTTTGAGGAGCTCGAGAAATTTGGTATTATGTAATGAAATATTCTGCAGTGCCAAGAGAAACCACTACCATAAACCATTATGGAGTGCTTTCTGGTCAACACCAATGTTCAATGCTTCACAATCCTGGTTTTGTGGGGTGTTGATGGTCTCACAGCTGCCTAGCCTAGAAATGTACTTCACACTGAGCTCGATGTTTCAATTTTCAATTAAACAAACAGGCAAGATTCAGGAAGAATGAGGAACCTTAAATGATAAAACTGTCTTTGGACTTTAAGTTAACCGGATGGGTCTTTCAGACCCAACTGCTTACTTCTCTGTCTGGACTTGGTCAGCCTTGACCTTGGACAGCTCCTTGTTAATCTGGTCCTTGGCCTGCACTTCGCTCTGCAGGTTGGACTGCAAGTTCAGCAGCTCCATTTTGTCCATCTTCTGCGACCGTCTGGACTGCCAGTCTTTTTGCTGCGGAGACAGGAAAACAGAATCATCATGCATGCCGTTTGGTAATCGTCTTCAGTCAATCTTGCCGCCCTTTTCCCTTCCGACCCAGTTGGCTTTTCACAACCATTTAAAACAAGTGCCATCGAACTTGCAGTATTTCAACACAAGCTGCACGTGCAACTTGTTCCTACTTTTAACCGCTTCACGGCAGGATTATTTTGACCGCGACTGCTGGGCTGTGGTATACCCTGAATGGAGGGCTTTGTCCAGCAGCAGGCCCCATTGAACCAGCAGCTGCATGGTGAATAGACAGTATGTGTGGTATGCACTAATCCTCACGCAACGGTGCGGTAGTAGCCGTCATCCGTAGCGAAGGGGTTAAAATTCTTGACTCTGTATCATAATTGGCAAAGACACTTCCACAAATGAGAGTGGATTACTCTTACCCTTGCAGCACCCACGAGTCCTGACTTCTTGACTCCTTCCAGCTCCTCTGTCATCTTTATGGCCAGCGCCTGGAGATAGCCCCGAGCATCTTTCTCATCACTCACCCTGGCAAAGAACAAGATGTCAGACTAATGAAGACAAACTACACACTAACCTACTTTACTTTGGCGGACAGTACTTGGTCTTGCCTAAGGGAAGATTTCATGGACTGACTTCATGGGAAAATGCACGGCACTGAAGAAAAACTCTAAAAACTTTGTTAATTCTCCAAAACTGGTTTTGCTTGAACAAATTCTGCATTTAAAACTCAGATGGCTCTTAGTTGTCAAAAATACTGATGTACTTCTTTCATTGATAAATGAACTTCTTGTTGCCATAAGGAGAATTGCTCACCATCAAAACTAAATAAGTATTAATGCATATCTGCAAAAATGAAATATATACTAAGGAGTGAGTGCCTCTGACAAAAGTCTTATTTCAGTGCATTGGATTTGGGCAATGGTAAAACATACATGCATGTACAGGAGAGTAGACCACGGAATCTGGTAACCCAGCCTGATATGTGCCAATGTCAATCAATTTGAATACTGAAGATATGCCAGTCACAGATTCGGGTTCGTAATTCTCAGTTTGTTTGGTTTTGGGTTCTTGCGTCCGCTGGGTAACTTACCACTGGATGATTTCACTGATCTGGGCCTCCCAGTGGGCCACGTTGTCCTTGTCTGACATCTCTCGCAGCTCCTCCTCACGAAGCTTCAGCTCCCGACACTTGTTGTCATAGTCAGACGACAACTGCGAGGGAGGGAAGAAACAAAAGTTTCAGCTGGTTCGCAGTGGGCCAAACGCGAAGCAACGTAAGCTTTGAAAGGGGTGCCCAGCTCTGCATTTGAGTCTCTTCAGTCTGCGTTCAAATTACAAGTGATGTCAACGTTGTCTGCAGCTCATGCTTAATTTAACAGCCCCATTTCTGAATAGACCATGGTCACTTCCCAAATCGTACCTGCGTCTCTGTCCTAAGCTCAATCAGACTTATGGGTCTGTTTCGCCACACAAATATCAAACTGACTTACATGATGCCAATCAGAAGGCCGACAAGTTTTATCAGGACTAGCAACAAAGGCAAGGCCGAGCCTTGAGAGGGGCCCTTTTTACATGACATAAATCTGCCAGAACATTTCACATGAAGAACACACAGGGAACTGAATTCTGCATTTAACAACCACGTACCAGTTTTCTTTCCATTCCACAGCTTAACAGCTGTATGACACAACCATTTTTAAAAGAATTAAATATTCCATGATGTCCTTAAAACATCTACCATAAAGCACTTCCAACAAAATCTGAATACTACAAGTCAGGGGTAATCTGCACTTGTGTACCACACCTGCTGCAATGAAAGCAATACCTATCAAGGTTGGGACCTCCAATGATCTGAGCTCCTTACCTTGTCCACTTCCAGGGTGAGTCTCTTGTTCTCCTCGTCCAGCAGGCTCTTCTCCCGTTCCAGCTTGCGCCGCAGTGACTCCAGGTCATCCTGCTGGGACTGGGAGCTGGTGGCCTCCCGGCTCAGCTTGTAGTTCAGAGTGCTGACCTCTCGCTTCAGGCCGATGATCTGCTGCTCGTTCTCTGATATTGTCTCCTTCAGGCCCTGCCAAAGCAAGACAGACAACCAGGGGATGTTCAGATGCAGTTCCCCTGTTGTCGTACATTTCACAAGTACTTTTTGCTAGTTGTCACAAGTCCAGTCCCTACTTACAGTAGACGGACAATAACAAATAAATATCAGGTTCACCATGAAGCTCTTTGGGTATAAATTCAGGCTGGGGTAACTAAACATATGAGGACTTGTAAAGTAGAAGTGAGGACATGCAATATACTCAGGTGTGCAGACCTCAGTGTGAGTACTTGTACACAAGTACAAGTATTTGGACTAAGATTTTGCATGAATTACAATGAAAGATCTCGCAACTTCACTTTGCATATTTTAACTGGCTCCTTACTTATTTGTGCTAGACCAAAAAATGGCAACTGGCCTGACCTTTTCTTCAATGGTGTGCCTGGATTTCTCTTTGGCCAGCGCCTCATCGTAGGAGACCCTTTTCTTCTCCAGCTCGGCCTTGAGCCTGGCAATCTCCTGCTGGCTGGCATCCTGAGTGCTGGACTGCTGCTCCACACGGCCTCGCCTCTGTCAGGGGGGGCATGGGCAAAGAAAAATTTAAAAACAAGCTCGAATGAACAAGTTGAGTTATCTACAGTAAACAGTATGTGCCGCCAACTTTTCTGAATATTTCCATGAACATTTGAGGGTTTTAAAGATTCAACTGTACCGGTACACTTTTTTTATTATCGCCAAGTTTCAAAACTTGGGGGTATATTAATCAACGCTGAAAATCCTCCAACAATTCCAACCCCTTCTAGCGACACAATCATGTACAAAACTTGATCTATTCAATTTCAATGTACATCCATTATAGAACTACAAATATCAAAAAATAGCTGGAGTTCTTACCCTGACCCTTTCCAGCTCTTCTTCCCGCTGTTTGACCAATTGCTCGCTCTGCTGCCTTAAAAACTTCTCCTTGTTCAGCTCAGCTAGTTTATCTTCCAACTCAGTCTCAAGCTGAGAGAGAAACAAAAAGAAACAAACATTCACCGAGGTCTACCCAGGAAAAGAGACAACTGCTACGCTGACTACAACAGAGATGCAGCAAGGTGATATATCTTGCCATCGTGTCTTGCTATTCAGAAGTGTGGGCCTCAGTACCCAAGTCCATACTCAGGTTTTCCATTCCAAAATTGTTGCTGGGCAAGTTCATCTTGCACGTACATTTTCCTGAAATGTTATTTCCATCAGAGACAGATGTCATTTTTTGCCATAGCTGGCAAGATTGACTATGTACACATTAACAAGAAGAGAGGCGGGGAGCTATCCACAGTCTCTGAAGGGAGATGGACTTCCCTGCTACTAACCTCTTTCCGGATTTTCTCAGCTTTGCGGATATCCAGCCGTTGCACTTCCACCTTCTGACTCATGGCGTTGTACTCCTCTTCCCTGTCCCGGAGTTCACGAGTCAGCTTGGTCTTCTGTGACCTCAGATCCGATAACCTAAGTAAGGGAATCCAGGAAAAATTTTGGAACACTAACATTTTGCCAGTTAGAGAAAAACCGGACATTCCATGACCACCTCAGGAAGCCACTTTAACAAGCACCGGCGTAAAACACTCAGTAACAGTCACACTTGATCGTCATCACAGCAATACTGCAATGGTTTCCATGCAGAGAGTTGAGAAATTTTCTTATTCTTGACAAATGCACATATAATTAATTACTTGGGTCTCTATTTTTTTTCCTGGAGATCAACGTTCGGCCTACCTCTCATTGATCTCTGAGAATTCTTGCATGGTGAGTTTATACTGCGACTTGGCCTCCTTGAGTTCTTTGCCTTGCAGTTTCTGCCTTTCCTGCAGTTCCATCAGCTCTCGCTGAAGTTCTTCTCTCTCTGCTTTCAGAGACCTGGAGGGAGGTGGAGAATGGAAAGCAGTATTAACCAAGAATTTATATGATGGTAAATGTGGCAAATCAAAAATTATTTTGAAAGAAAGTTACAAAAATCACTACTTCACAATGGAGAAAAAAATTATACAAACCAGGGACTATCACTATTATGTAATCTTGAACAGATTTCAGAGTTATTTAAACAGAAATCAACCTTAGAATTCATTGTTGGAAGGCAATAATGGCACAGACTGTTGTCAGCTGTAAAGGCTAAAACATGAGCAATTTTGGATAGTACACAAATACTGGAAATAACACTTGCTTTATAGTGACCGTGGTCACGAGATAGAGGACTCACAACAGAACCGCTTTAAAAGTAATGCTGGTTTCTTTTCTCAAAGCCTTACAACAGAAGCGCAAAGTGAACACATACACATAGCGCGGCCTTACATGGGGAAAAGTAACAGATGTCAGACAATATACATGTGACTAATTCTCATCTGCTGTGCAAAATGATACTGATAAAAATGACTGCCTAAATAAATAGTATCTTTTTAAACAGAAGTAAATGCCGAACACAGCTTTCTCAATTAAACGTGAAGTGGATGGTCAACTGATATTCAAATTGACATGCAATTGCTTGGAGTCAATGTGAGGGATGTTGCGGACATGGCCAAGCAGAAGAGAGCCATAGGGAGAAAGTAGGCCAACCAAGAACAGACTGGAAAATGGCCTTTAAGATGATGATGAAAAGCATTTTTCAGAAGGTTTTTAAGAGTTTGTCTTTTGGTATGACAGTCAAAAAAGTGAAAACCACTCTCCCCCTTTGCAGTAGTAGCTGTGAAAACTCTCTGAGATGCTACAGCACAGGTACCTGTGTTGTTTTTCTAGTTGCCTGATCTTGGAGTTCTTGTCCTCGTCATCTTTCCTCATGCCAAGAGCCTCTTGTAGCTCCTTCTCCAAATGGTTGTTTGCCACTTGGGCATCTACAGTTTAAAAAAAGAGTTTTCCCCATTTTTTGAAGGTAGGTTTGCAGAAGTAACATATCTGTCAGAGCTCTTTCTCAGCCTTTTCACAAAAGAAGCCTCTCTATCAAAGACAGAATTGGTTGGCTCACCTGTAAACTTCTTTGACAACAGTGCAATCTCATCCTTGAGATGTTTCACTTCATTGTTTTCTGTGCCAACTGATCTGGGATCTTGCCTGTAGCTGTCAGCACCTCTTCTTGTTGCTTCTACAAAGGATACAAAGGCAGAAAGAGGAGGGCAGGGATTTGAGTCGGATAATACACTGCTGTTTGGTCAAATGGTAATCAATAAGCTCTTGAATTTAATCATCAGAAAAAGCACAGGCTTTGACTTTTTAGCAGTTTTGATTGGTTCATTACACAATGTATCAGGTCAATACTTGATGAAATATGGCAAAAGATATCAAAGTGATTGTCGGGATCTGGGTAGCATGTCTAGGATAACTGTGCATTGAATACACCTCAATGCAACTGGTGAAGGCATCGTTTAGTATGGTCAAACACCAATGTAACCAAAAATGGTCAGATTTACTGACAATATTCACTGCGGTGGTTGTGCCACATAATGATCGATTTGTTCAATCAAATTTTCTTTGACCAAATCTGATCATTGACCATTAAGTCTCAAATGGAAGATCAGCAATGTGCCTTGTACTTGTGTATGAATATGGGAAATGTACATGAGCCTCGGTCAAACTTGGTTTGAAGGTCACAAAAACTTAACTCTGACTACCTGTTGCATGTTGCAATACGCTCAGCTTCTGGTGACCAGCAATGCCACCAAATTTGTAAAGTCAAACTGACCTGTCAAACATGTTTGATGAACTGGAGGTAGTTTGATCTTCATTACCTTTCCTCTTCATAGAAAGATCTGTGTTGGTTTCTTAAATCCTGGACTCATGTTTGAATGACCCCCCTAGCTGTACCCCTTCAAAGTAACCTGCAATTTTGTTCCCATCTTTTAACTGGATGATTATGGATACCTGATAATTTGTGACTCAAGCTATTCTTCTCAGACTCTAGCCTCTTGATCCTTCTCTCGTAGGCCTCCATTGTTAAACCGTCAATGGAGTCTGATATGACCACGTCCTTGGCTTCGATCAGAGAGCCCAGGTCCGACAGGCAACTTCAAAATCAAACAAAGTCAAGCGCAGAATGAGCTACACTTTTCTTTGGTCACACACTTGCAGCAAATCTCTCTTCAGGGGCTTGCCAACTTGTGCCACGAAAACGAGATCATTCTTGGCAGTGCATCTTCAATCATGGGTGGAAACGGGGGAATTTATCTGATGGGTTCATGTGCTCTTTCGAAGGGCACATTGTTGCTGACTGCATCCCCCCAAAGAGTGAATGGGTACCCCACAAGGGCAGTTGCAGTTATTTTGTTTGAACATTTTGAATGAAAGTATCAAGCAATAGACAGCTGAGATGATTTTTCCATTTTTTTTTTCAGCCTGATGACGGGTAATTGACGCTGTGGCACTTTGTGCACCAAAAACAGACAGACAGGCTCCTCTCATAAATACGCATTAATACATGCGCACCCATCCATCAAACTTAGGCCCCGGGATCTTTATGGTTGCAACCCATTCACAGGGTTGTCATTCATACTTATGGATGGAAAAAACATGAAGGGGACGATATACATCATTGGGACACCATATTTAAATTCATGTAGTATTCTCTGTCCTCATTAGAGATATCAGAAGACGGACAACAGGTGCCCATCTCACCTGTTTCTTGTGAATGAAAAGCCTACAAAGGGGAGGTGGTTGCCCGTGAAGGCTGCATGGGTGTTGGGCGGTACAGTCTCTGACTGCTTGAGGTCTGTTTCATCCACGTCAAAGTTGGATGTATCGGTTGGACTTTTGACATCTGGTTTGTATGGTGGAGTCACTGCCGAAAAAAAAAGTAAAACGCAGGATATTATCAGATACGTTTTCGCTTGTCAACATATCTGAACATACATGTAGTTAGTGTTTCATTACTTTGAGCAGTCTGTGTCGTCCTATGCAACTTTCTCTCTTTCATGCATGTAAACAGGTTTTTCGGTTTTTACCGAATCATAGATAATTGAATATCCTGAGGAAAAATGGCTGAGCAGGTGCTATTCAGGTGGGTTCCCACCATATCTACAATAAAATTAACCAGGTGATGTTTATTGCACGCTGCCATTTTGAATACACTGCTGGCACTGGTAAACTATGGAATAGGCGATAAAACGCTTGTCAAGATAAATACATATTTACTGGCGTGATCCACAGATCAAGTAAAAATGCCATTGCCTAAGTATTACATCCAGTAAAAACTTAAAAAAACAACATTTCCCCCCCCCAAAAAGGGTTTATATTGACAAACATGAGTGATGTCCTTCATTTTTGCCTGAAATTTCTGGCAAACAGAAAACATTCATGCCTGCACATGTATGGTGCCAGTGTTCTTTGTTTTAAAATTAAAGACAAAGAGCCTGAATCGGGTTACTGCAGGAGGACTTACATTGTAAACCCTGAACAGTACAACGAAATGACGGGAAAGCCCAAATTGTATGTCTTGTGGAGTCATCAATGATGTTTTTACCTCCTCCCCGTCCCCTCCATCCGTCTATTTACTTACTTTCTCTGATGTTGTCCCAATCAATGCCACTGAAGAAGGGGTGGTTCTTGAAGTCTTCCAGCCCGTTGATGCCCAGACGCTGATCGGCGCTGCATATTAGCTTCCCAATCAGGTCCATGGCTTCGTCTGACACATCATCAATATCAGGCGGGAAGGCAAACTGGTCCTGGATGGGAAAAACAGGGTTGGAGAGTTATTGGAAACATTTTGTTTCGTTGATCGTAACCATCCTGGATCCTTCATAATCTTGGTAGAGTTTGTAAGATTGTTTAAAGGATTGAGGAAAAAAGATACCAGTCACTATTACTTCACAAGGGACTTGACTTTTGGACAGCTAAAGCAAACACGATGGTTTCCTGTGTAGTGGAAGATTTGGGAAGATTCTCAAAGGTTCCTCGCCAGAATGTTTAGGGAGTAAGGGTAAATTCTAACATCACCACCATGACCACAACTGGTAAACATCCACAAAAAGTGCCAGTGAATATAATGGCAGGTCATTCTCAAAGAAGCCAAAATAAAGGCTGCTGAACATCTACACAGTGGTTTCTCTCCATTTAGCCAGGTTAACGATGCCAAAAATACTGTACTACCTGCTTAATTGAGGGAATAAAAAAATTGGGTTAAAATACCCAGTAAGGTACTACTGTTGGGCATGATTGATTGATCACCATCAATCTTGTTGCAATCTAGTTGCACTTCTAGCCCAATTTGTATGAAATCATGGACTTGATTTCTCTTTTTTTAAAACAATCTTCCACAATCGCCAAGTAGAAACAAGGCGATATGCTGATAGCAGAATTGTAAGCAAATTGAGTAACAAGATCAACAGCTTGTGCAAAGATCAAGCAATTGGGCAGACCGACCAATCGCTCCCAACAGCTCCATTTTTCTTGTTTTTATTTTGTTAATACGTATTCCCGAGTTGCTTTTTCTATTTACTCCTTCATGAACTTAAGACCAACTCAGGGAAACATTAAATCAGATGCCATCCACACTTTGAGCCGTGTTCCAGACTTTGTCAGGAAAGGGATATATTTTAGACACTGTCCGTTTAATACTGTCACACGGCATTACACCATTTTCCCATCGTATCAGTCAAAATGCAGGTTTAATAAGGACCAACTGAGGCAAAAGTGTGAAAATTACGTTCAAGAAGAAAACTGGAAAAACTTTACAGAAAAAGATCTTATTGGCCATACATTGACCACAGAACCTTAGTGATTGCCCAATGACAAGCCAAAGACTGATCAACAGCCCTTTATGCAGTCTAGGTGTCTCATGTCTGTCTTAGAGTTAAAATCTAGCTTTTTTTTTTTTACTCTTCGGTTCCTTGTTGTAGTCAACATCACAATTGGGCCTCCACATTATCAACAGCCTCGTGTGAATATCAAATGTTATATAGAATATCACACTGCCACCTGATATGAGTACATGTATCTGGCTTTTCACAATTCAGTTCCCTCTATGGCAAGAATAATCCCCTTTCTAAAGTTGCCCCAAGATAATCCGTTTACCTCGATACCCATTTTGGCAGTATCTCTGATTGCAAAAAAATGGAGGTGGAATTTTCAGCGGAGCAGAAAGCCAAGCTTTCTACTTCAACATTCAAAATAATGGTACATACATGTCAATGGGGAGCCCAGCCCAAATCAGCAAGATGAGGGGGGAATAGGGACAGACTACGCTGTAACCTAATGCCAGTGTGAAAAAAACCTAAGTCTTTGCATAATGCCTGCTAAACAGCCCACCCATGCATTCACATGCAGTCTGGATATCAGTATCACTGTTCCACCATTTCCACAGTATCTGGGGCATGCACAACAAATGGGCCAGTGTCTGATGCACACAACAGTTTCACTATGCAACCATTCTCATGTTCAGAAATCAATTCTGAGAATCTTTCGCCTGTCAAGAGAGAGTGATTTTTGTTTCCTTTGGAAAAATACTCATTTCCCATCTGAGATCATCCCATATTCAGTTTCAACCGCTAAAACGATGCAATGAAAGAAACACATCAGTGTCACATGTCATCTCATGGCATGTACCGGTACATGTAATAGATAAAATGTCAATTTATGGGGAAAAAAATTACTTGACAGCATTTTCCTGACAGTTTTGCCTTAGATAATTTTACATGTGCCAGTACATCATCCTGAACTGTACACAAACCCAGCAACTGGCAAAACAGAACAGTACTTGTCAAATTTCTATTATTTTTTAAGTTTCCTTTGTTAAAAACAAGCATTCGCTTCAGAAGCTAAACTGTTTCAAACTCAGCATTCAATTCAGTTAAATTTCCACCAGCAAAAGTCACGAACCCTAGAGTTGTCCATTTTTTTTTGGTAGGCAATGCCAGGGAAACTGCTCTGCCAAATTGCAAGATTGATGAGTTTTGTGATTTAGGGGGCTTTCAAAATCTAAGCTTTGTCTATGTCCCGTGCTTCACTCAATTTTTAAATCCCTCACTTTGGGGTTTTCAGATCAAGGAACAGTCATGTCTTGCTGGAGCCGTATCAACATGTCTGTCCAGAAAACAATGAAACTATTTTCAAGAAGTTAGACGAGTACGTACAGGCCTGTAAGTGGTTTCACGGTGGGTAAAGATGCCCGAGACAGCAGCAGGGCCGAGATCTAGATAACAAGAAGTTTCCGAGCACAACCCTGCATACATGTACCGGTATGTAGTACTTTGCTAACTTCATCCTTTCATCATGCAGTATAAACCTCTAAAGTGCCTTTCAAAGTAAGGTTGATAATCTCTACTTTAAGCAATTTTTAATTGAAGTCTTTTCTTTAAGTTTGAAATCAGCTTCACCCGCTCCTGCTCAACGGCAAATTTTCTTGGCATCCCCTGTTATTAATTATTATTAATAGCTGTTATTAATTACCCTGTCACTGTAATTCACTTAACATTTCCAAATAAAATTGGAATCACGCTCCTGTTCTGTGTTACTGGCAGCCTTCTTTCTATCTCCTGAAGTACATGTGCGTAACACAAGCGGATACATTGTTGTACTTGTTCCAAGTTTACAGCATGTACGGTACTTCAACACACCACGTGAGTCATACATGTACATGAACTTAACTTCCTTACGCAGACATGGTAACACCAGACGTCATACCCGGCGGAATGTGCATATATTTTACTGGGTTGACCAGCTGTTCACACATTTTGCTCTATGTGCACCACATTGATATACACTGTACCCTGATGTACGAGTATTTCTCATTGTGTAAAAAAGCAAAGCAAGCCTGGTTGGCAGGCCATTGATCAAATGTTACTGAACTACATGCACATGTGTGCATCCCAATTCAATGTTAACAGGGGTAATATGCCACACTGAATCAAAGTTCTATTCCAAGGGAAAAGGACTTTCCATTGCACAGTCACAAGAAATTTCTGATCTCTTCAGTGATGTGGGGATTCATACAGGGTTTGTCAAGCACTGCATGAATAAATAATGTTTTGCATTGGTAAAACAAACAAAAAAATTGGCAGGCAGATTGTTCCTTTGTCATTAGTAAACGAGGATAACCCACATGTACATGTACAATGTCAGAACCATCATTAAATGTATCTGTACAAATGTTGTTTGATCCAATGAGTGTCCACTCTGCTGTAAACATACGCTACACATGCAGTCATAAATACATGTATATCTCTGCCTCAACACCAGCATCTTCCCAAAACCTAGACATTGAATCAGAAGATAATTTCTGCTCTTCCCTGCTCCACAGGAACTTTGTGTAATAAACATGTACTAGTCTGACCAAACCGAATTTTTCTGATAGTCAACCCATCCAATCCCCCTTTCTTCTTGTACGCTCTGAGGGCATTCATCATTATACTTTCAGACACTAAGCACCATCCTATCTGGGTTACAAAGTCTCCCTATTCAGTGAGGGTTCCCCCCCCTCCAAAATATAAACAAATGGATTGGGGGCTGGCGTTTGTGACTTTGGCCCTGTTAGGGTTAGGCAAGGGACCTCTGGCAATCGCACTAACAAAAACAGCCAATGTGCTTCATCCTTAATGTTAAACAAACCTGGGTTTGGATTACCAGACCAGTAGAAATTCTAGAGCTCCTGACTTGTGCCCAGGAACTCTAACGAAAATATATATGTATTATAGATTGCACCTGCTTCTGGTCAGGGAGAAATCAGGGTGAATATGACTGGTGAAGTGGAAATAACTTCACACAAACAAAGAGCAACCTAAAGTGTGCATGGGTGGACGCAGCAAGATGCTATGCTATGTCCACGGATTATGGAAAATCCTGACCCGGAGTGTAACCAGGCACAGAGCACAGTCAGTCGTGCTTTGTATTAAGACAAAACCGACAGACTTCATTCAATGTTATTCGCCACTGTGTAATGCACCATTCAAAATGGCATAAACTGAAAAAGACATCAGTGTCTGTCCACGCACCTGTAAATTCACTTTCTGATTTTTTTTTTCCATACATTTTTTACAATGTGGAGCAGAACAGTTCCTTACCAACAAGACCTGATATTTACAGTTTATCCAAGCAAATTCAAACCCTTTGCATGACAGTGCATAAGTTTAAGAGACTGATGAGGTATCACATCCCAATCTTCACCAGTACACTGTATATGCAGAGGTGTTATTGCTTTACGACTAGTGTTAAACTTCAGGGATTGGGGAAGATAATTGACAGAAATGCAGAGGAAATAGGGCTGACAAGCATGGACAGATGTAAACAACTCACTACCCTCAGACCTGGCAGCACTGTGAAGCAGATGGATCATTAATGGGTTTTGGTCTGATTTTACAGGGCACTCTCACTGACTCATGTGACTCACCATACCGGTAAGTCTGCCACTTTCAAAGGCAAAGACTGAGACATCACACAGAGTATTTTACTAGAAGGCAAGCCCGCATAGCTTTGGCAAAATGGCAGAGAATGTAAGAAAATCATGGAGCCAGCACCCAGTAACAGATTGGTACGATAACAACAACTGCACACCGCATTACGTAGTGATCGATAAGCCATTTAATAAAGAATTCGGGTTAGGGTATAAGAAAAATAAAGGCCTCACTGTCTAGTTTACAGTGTTGCTAATCACATGCTTGTCTAAACTTAGTGGCGACATGGTCCTCTGACGGCCTTTGATTGGGCCCAATTTCATCCAAAATTTTCCTACCTTGTGGTTCATGATCTTGCTGTAGGTCTCCACCAGTGATTCTGCGTAGAACGGAGTCTCTCCAAACAGCATTTCGTACATGCAGACACCCAGGGACCACCAGTCGCACTCTGGCCCATATTTTCCCTGACCGTCCTCCATGGCCTGGTAATAAACAGATTAAATAACCCTCAGCTGATATCCTCCTGATCACCATTTTGCTTTAACTGTCAAAAATAAACATAACTTTTCTGAGCAGCTTGCATTAGTAATTATCTAAATCAGGCTTATCCTTCTTGGACTTAGTCTTTTCTGTGGGCACCCCTTTAACTTCCAACAGTCACGGCTGCTGAATATGTAACACTTGGAAATGCACTTTGGGGCATAAATCACAAACAGAAAACCCTGCTTATGAAAAGACCAAAGAGTCTTAGCAATCCTTGCGACCTAAAAATTCAAGTACCCTATTGGGATTAAAAAAAAATTCACATAAAATACGGTGCAAGTGGGAGTAAGTGAATTATTCAAGAAAAGAACATGTTGGCCAACTACGATATGAGCAACTACTGGGAACCTTTCCAACTGTTTGGGCATCAGAAAACATCTTGATGTGGTACTCTCTCGGTGATGACAAAACAACTTGTAAGGGAGAAAAACATCACTCGACCACAGCTCTGTAAAAATCCCCTGATTAGAATCCTTTGGCTCCAGTGTTTCAAGACTCTAGTCAGCACAGAAGACCCAGCATGATTCCTATCTTCAGCCCATTTCTTCTGGCAGAGCAAATGCTACAGCAGCACAAAGGGTATACTGATTACCCCCCAGGGATGGATTTAGTAACTAACAGCTTACCCTGAGAATCTCAGGAGAGATGTAGTCTGGTGTTCCCACAGCTACATTTGACTGAACCTGAGAAAGATTTTTAAAACAGTGACAGAAGTTGCAAGTACTTTGCTCTTAAGCATATAAATTAAGTCTAAACCTGTAAATCATTTGAATTATTTCCGTTTTTAATTTGGTCTATTTTTACTTAATCTTGAAACACAGGTGTATATTATTTTCCTCAAATTTGTGAGTCCGGTAATGTTAGAATCAATATTCTCACAATTACCAACAAATTTTCGAGGGAATACTTGAAAGTGCCATACTTCTATATTTCTATTCTTCGAAACCTTACAGCAAAATAAAATTAGCGACAGGAATTGACTCCTTTAAATTTTGATTGCACACATTGTGATTTGGGAGCACTTGGCTTCGATAAGTGAGACCTCACTGAAGACCTTTCTGACAGAGGGGGAATAAATTTGAAGAGGCATCTGATCTGACCAAATGGCGATCCTCTCTCACCGAGCCATCCTCCTGCATCTTGAGGCAGGAGCCAAAGTCGGCTAGCCGTATGTGGCCGTGCTGGTCCAGCAGCACGTTGTCTGGCTTGATGTCCCGGTGCACGTACTGCAGCTGGTGGATGGAGTCGATGGCCAGCACCATCTCTGCGATGTAGAAGCGGGCCATGTCCTCCGGCAGCCGGTCCTCAAATTTGCTGAGGAGGGTCAGGAGGTCACCCCCGCTGTAGTAGTCCATGACAAAGTACTGGAGATCGGAGGAGAGGGGAAGGGGAGAAAGACCGATACACGATGAAGCAACATCAAGTTGTGTCCATCATATGTCCAGTCATGAGCACATCACGAGTCAAAATGATTTTTTTTTTACTTCGGTCACTAGTAACTCCACAGGTCTAGTCACAAATAACACAGAGTTACATGTCTACATTTCTGACAAGGCTTTTGCTGAAAAATGGAAACACCTAAAAAATTCTACATTTCTAGCAATAATATGCTGAATGCTTTGCAGACTGATAAAATCAAGATGCCTTAAATCTGCATGTCTGTCTCTGTGCCAAGTTCTGAAAATGTGTCCTTAATATCACCATCAATACAAACAGGGTAGGGGTGCACCATTTTGTGGTTCCCACTTTGTCCCCGCAGGCAACTCACCAAATAGTCATCATCTTGAAAGGAATAGTGTAGATGGGTTATCCATCTGTCGTCACCTTTCACAAGGACATCTCTTTCTTCTATAAAGCAGGCAGTCTGACAAAAAAAAAGATTTAATGTCAAGATGCGTCAATAATTTGACAGAGAGGTCATGTCCAACTTTTTCTTGCAATGGCTGGATGCAACATGTCGCTACGGAAGTCTTTAACTAGCGGCTACTGCCACTCCCCATAGACTTGTGTGTTATTGTCAGCCAGAGCCATGTTAATGACCTATCCACTCATACATTGTAATTAATGTTCAACATATTTCATTCCCAAAGTATATTTCAACAATTCATTTACCAGTAGTTTGCAGTATTTGTTAATATTTTGGATCAGCAGGTACTTTTATTTGGTTCAGAGAACAAATACCATCAACATATTAGACTTCAGGAAAACATTTCCATGTATCTATGTAGAGATAGTCACAAAGTTAGATCAAGTTACAGCAACTGTACTGTATGTTTAAAATAATGCCACATGCATGTAATTATGTGCTAAACAAGTGCAGAAGACAGGACTCTCCCTGCCTGAATCCTGCAAAATCCTCCCAAAATCCTGGTGGATTTTGAAGGATCTATAAGATCTACTGGGACTGGGACTAAGGGATCTAGCATCTATTTAATGGAAAATTCACAGATATGCTTTTCAGACAAAACTCTGTAGCAGGTTGTCCATTTTTCATAAGCTCCACCAGTGCATTTGCAAGTAGCAAAAATAGTTTACAGAAGAAGCGATTTAAACCTGTTTGATATTAACTAAGGTAAGGCTTTAAATGACCCTGGGTGGTTTTCACGGCACTGATGGGAAAATTAGCCTTAAAAAACAATGAAAAGAGTGTCAAAAGCCTTAGTATTTCCACTCCCCTTACTTAAAAAGAGATGGAGAGAACAAATTTTATTAAGTTCACTCCATCTGTAATACCTGTAACCTGTTCACTCAACACTTGAAATATTTGGCGCTAAAGACTGACCTCTGCCCTCTTGAGCATTTCCCATTTGTTGAGTAGTTTCATGGCAAATATTTTGTCACTGTTCTTTAACCTCACCACAGCAACCTGTAAGACAGAACCAACCAAAAAAAAAATCTCATTGGTTTCATCAAACCAAGTCAAGCATGTGCGACAACAGATGGTGTAATGGCTTGTGTTTGGTAAATGTGCAGTTAGATGCAATGGGATATCTAGATTCTAATGAGATCTTTTCTTCCTAACAAGACTCCCAAAGGTTGCAGGAAACATTCAGGTTTAAAATACTACGGAAACAAAAACAATAACTAGTGTTAATCTAATTAACCAAATACAACATAAATTAATTAGTCACAGCTGTATGCCACGCATGTAAATTGTTTATAAATTTATTTTGGACATGTGAATGTAGCTGCGGGGTGATTGAGCAGTAATTTACGTTGGCCTGCAATTGCTACAAAATATCCAGGAATTGACCTTCCTAAGAAGATCATATATCATTGGAGGGGAAGAGATTTTTGCTGGTAGTGGAGGAAAAGTGGATTAGTACTGACCTCACCGAAAGCTCCTCGACCAATCACCTTGAGTGTTTCAAAGTCATCTCTGCGTAACCGCAAAATCTTGACCTTCTCTGCAACGGGTTTTGCTGTGTCGCGGAAAATGAATTAGACATGAGTTTGGGATTTTTTTTACAAAATATGTGAATGCTTTTACAAAATAAAAAATCAAAGTGTGCCAATCATATAATCTGTCAAGTTTAGCACAAAGTTGATCTGCATGCAGTTTAGTTTGGTAAAACTTTGTTTTGTTAGCTTAATGGGCTGTCAAAGTTCCGATTCAAGATATGTAAACATATACAAGAGCATACAAACTGCACGTACAATGTACATGTCCACACATGTATACATGTATCGGTAAGTACATGTATATTCAGGGGAAATGATGTTGGCATCAGGTATTAATTAATGTAGCCCATGATTAACATGTACATGTACGTTTACTGGTATGTTGGCTCTCTGAAAAGGAGAAATTTGACAACAGTAATTGTATACTGGCAACTGAACTTGAAATCAAGTCTGACATCCTGCCACAGCAGGAATCACTTCTCTGTCTCATTTATACAGATTCAAGTCCCGCAGGGAACTTTGAACAACTGAAGCTAAAAAATACTGAAATAGGAATACAGGCAACAAAGATAACCCATGAATTAAATAGGTACACTTGGCAAATTTCCTCCCATCACGAATGACACATACATGTACGTTCATATTATTTATTGTATAGCACATGTACATGTATACGTACAGGTGTGCATACATGTACATGTACCATGTATGCACACCAGTAATCCCTAGTATTTTGACAGGGATACTTCTTACATTCTCCAATATGTACATTGACACCACTTTGCAGAAACCCAACACATTCTTTGTACATACATGTAGGTACAATGTACATGTACATCAACTTTCAGGGAGCATCAAGCCAATACAAGCGGCTGACAATGTACATGTACGTATTCCTGAACCCTACAAAATCTTCCAAACCACCCAGGGTACTAGTACCAGTACCTCAAAGGAGCTGCAAAGGTCAGAGTTAAGGTGCCTTTCCATATGCACGTCAACACTTGCATCAAGCGTTGCATATCCGTCAAAGTCGCTCTTGATTTTGACAGCCGAACGCAACTCACACGTGTTATGTTAATAGAGTCTACGTGAAAGTGAATCGCATGAATGCATTGTGTACGCATCACACCAAAAATACGTTAATATGGAAAGGCACCCTTACTTGTTCAGGAATGTATGTGCGCATTGAAAATACAATGTACAATGTACACGTAGTTTACAATACCACACTCTTGTAGCTACGCTCTCCTAGAAGAATCCTTTTTTTTAGTGTTACCAATACACATCCATTAAGACTTACATGTAATAAAGATGGAGAAAGGGACTGCTTTCTTTTAATGCTTACCGGTACATGTATAAGTAATGCAGCTGTGATATTACTTGGAGAAAACATTTGGTTCACATATTAGACGCACGTGACACAGGCTGCACAGGTGTCTGAACACATTCTTATGCATGTGCTGCCAACTTACTGCATGAAGTACTTTGTAATAAACAATGCAGTTCTCAATGCACTCATGTTAAGGTACAGTAAAGCACAAAAAAGACTGAATGCCAATGGATACAGACAAAATCAAATTAGTGAAATCCAAATGTTATAATTTAATTAAATTTTTCTTGCATTACTGTACTGGTACAAGGAACACCATTTTTTTCAACAGCATTTTAAAATACATACATACATGTACTCGTTATATACCAGTATTGTGTACATGTACATGTACACATAGCAACTCTACAATGTACATGTACATATGGTACAAATGTATGTGCCGGGGTAATGGAGGTCATTTCAAAGTGGCAACCACACAAGATGATTACACCTGGCATTCACATGTGCTTTACTCATTCGCAAACATTAAAATGTAATCAAGGGATTCCAATACAGTGTAAACCCATTTGCTTTTTGTTACTACTGGTGTCTCTGTGTTCTACATGAATGAAAATGCTTTGGATAATCCAATGCGATTTTACGCATTTGAGCAAAAAGAAAATGAATCATTCTAGTACATGTACATTCTTTGGAAATATCCAGCGAGGGGAGTCGGGTTGGCGTAGTGGTTCTTTCCTCGCCTTCCACCTTTGGGGGCCTGGGTTCGAATCCTGACCCAGTCCACATGTGGATTGGGTTTCCAGTCACAACCTGATTCTGTGGGTTTTACTCAGAGTATCCCCCTGCAGTTTTCCTCCCACCTCTAAAACTGTACATGTAACTGCTTCTCATTTTCTCCGGGCTTGCGAGCTACAGTGCCAAGGGCGCTTTTGAGGAATCCTTGGTGTCATTACCAGAAATGATTAATAATAATAATAAAGTTGGTGTGATGTTTCCTGATGGATGCCTTGCCACTCTATGATTCGGATTCAGAAGTCTATTGTTTGAAATGTAACATTTATGTGTGTACATATACATGTACATGTGTACTTGATTTTGGCCTCCGGTCATTTGGCTCAAACTAGCCATGTGAATGATTCAGGCATGCTGTCTCTCAGGATGTATATTTTATATTCAACAGCTTTTATCACAGAAATCAACACTTTTATAGTAGGCGAACTGCCTCATCGTCCTGGGATATTCCCAGAGCTTCAAAATGCCAATAGTTGTGCATCATCGTGAAGAATTGTTCACTCCATGTGACAGTTGTTGTTACTTGTTGCCCTTTACAGCCGATGGTACTAGTAAACACCGGTACGTACATCATGGAGTAGAGGAATACTGTACAACAGAAAGCCCCTTAAGTTTCTGCTTTGACGGCTAGGAATTCACTAATGCTCAAAGATACATGTAGATGTACATGTACGAACAAACTTTGCCATGTTGATATTTATCACCAGATGTACAGTACCGGTCCCTGTACCTGGGCAGACGTTGGTCAACAGGCAACAGATGCTAGCAATGATGAAGACTCGACTCAAGTTTGGGTCTTCCGTGTCGTTGTCTGCATTTATACTTTGCATGAGGAGGCCGTGTGTCTTTACCTGCTTCATGCCCTCTTGTGGCCACTTATTACTGTGAGTTCAGAAATCCTGACTTGACGAATCTGCCAGCCGTTTGTACACAGCAAAACAGGTAGCAGCCAATCAAATTGCTAAACTTGTTTTTACATCATTCCTACCTTCATTATGATGAACGAGTCTACATTGTACAAGTCTGACTACTTTGATTGGTGGAAATTCCGAGTCTGACCACTTTGATTGGTGGAAATTCTGTGTACATTAAGCAAGATCATGTCGTTCATATGCAATTATGAATAACTACATGTACATACAGCACATGTATCACTGACTGGGGATCTGATTGGCTTATACGTCAAGTCGGACTTACTGACTGGTGACACACAATGTAATGTATTATCTTTGTCGTTGATGCCGGATATTGCAGAAGAGCTATCGTATGAGGGTGTTTTATAAGAAGTTATGCAAGTGGCCGAGTGCGATGACCGTGTGTACGGTATATGAAGGGATGGCTGACTGGGGGAGAGCATCACAAGTCTGACTTGATTCAAGTCTAGCAATGACACAGAATCGAGCAACACAGCACAGAATAGGCTGGATGGTCAGCAAAATGGTTTGAATACAATGTCAGTGTGTACCCAAATAATCAAGGGTGGAGCCTGGCACTGTCAGACCATTTCATTATGTATACCGGTACATGAGCACTCACCAGGTTGCTGATGTGTACATGGACATGTGTACCGTACATGGGGATACCTTTCTGTGTACCTTCACCCTCATGCACAAACATGTACAGGTACATGTACAAAATGTACTTCAGTACTCTGATATTTCTCTCTCCAATGTTCGGACAGTTTTGGTGGGAAAGCTTCTCCCTGATGCTGCCCAAATCTAGTGCCACATTACATTGTACATCAAAATTGGGGCATCGTATCTTACACCGTACCATACGGGTGGCTTGCTTTTAACGCACATGTAGGTACATGTACCCTATGCCATAAAAGCCTTTGAAACGACATGTACATATGAGAGCTTTGCAAAGTGCAGTAGAGTTAGCTATGAAATATTTCAACAAGTACATACATGTACATGTATGTACCGGTACATGGTACACTGTACATGTACATGTTTGCGCAATCATTCCATGCTAAATTACACGAAGGGCTCAAGCAGTGTACACGTCCATGTATTATATTCAGGGAAGTTTGACCACCCATGCAAAAAAGACAGAAGTCCATCCAGGAAGGAAGTATCCCATGTCAGAGTATCTCCAACCAGTTGTTCAGCATGTTCAGTGGGATGGTTGCCAAGCAATGGTTAAACACAAATAGAGTTTGTACCCTGTTAGCTCTGAGTTGATTAAAAAGCCTCCAGCTTGGTTTTTGTGCTCCAGCACCCAGTTGTTTATCAACTGGCATTTCATGGTTGTTTAGCGAGGGGATTTTATGACCCACAAATGTACTACTATATTTACCCCAGTTCAGGGAACCGTATGGAATGGTAAACAGTTGGAACTGTTTGGAAAGTTGCTTCTATAAAAATGGCCAGAAATAATGCAAAATTTGTATCAAAAACTATCCAATTGGTGAACAGTTCTGTGTTTTGTGTGGTGTGTGTACCGGTAGTTGCAGTGGAAATTAGACTGTTGTGAGAATGGGAACCGCTTCAAAACTATTTTATGTAAGGCACAGTTTATAAGATGCTAAGATGCTGAGAAATACTGGACACCTTGAATTTATAGATTTGAAAGTAATCCCAGCGACAATTCTGAGGACAAATACATATTTGCAGGGTTCCCTGGGTCTGTGGTATGGAAACTCTTGGAAAAATTTTGTCCCAGAAAGTCACAGAAAATGATGAACAAAATAGGATGTCATGGAACCCTGTTGTCAGAAGTCATGGAAAAGTCCTGTAAATCAAGATCTTGCAAGGGTTTGATGTGATAATGGAATAACGACAGATTCACAGGTTACATGTACATGTATGTACATATCTTTCCTTGTTGGTCTATAGTAGTGGTTATGGCAGTCTTTCATAATAGCAAATAATTTTTTTTCTGTAAACTGGC